CACTTACTGCCCCCGTTTGGAGAAGAATGCATTTTGGCATCCTGGGCCAAGGAGAAGCTCCTGCCTTGGGAGCCTCCCCATGAAGGAGGTTCCACACATTCATCCGGGCACCCACTCTAACGTTTAATCATCTTCCCAGGGAGTCGGTCCTGCTGAGCCAAAAGCCCGCCAGCTCCCAGGTGTGGAGCACGAGTCCACAGCCACTTACCTCGAAGGTGACTGGTGGGATGAGGGACCGCCGGTGGGAGGACTCAGGACCCTCATGCAGCAAGGCCTTGACCTGTGGGTATAAACGCAGGGGCCCTTCAGGCTGGGAGGTGTCAGGAAGGCAGCAGCAGTTGGGACAGAGTCAAGGGGACACCTGGGCATTCTCTGAGCCAAGAGGGGACCCAAGAGAAGCCAAGGGAAGCTGCAGGATCCCCCAAATACCTTATCTTCAATAGAGGACAGCAGACTTGTCAGCTGGCTGAGCTTGGCCACCACGTTGACTGGATTGGCCTCAGCAGGCCCCTGGGACGTGAGGAAGAGCAAATAAAGACGGAGGGCTGAGTGCGGCTGCTGAGAGGCGTCAGGCCAAGCGCTCCCCATGCTTTCTCTTGGTTCATCCCCCCAAAAGCCCTGTAAGTGCGATATCAGGCCCCTTTGCCCACAAGGAAATCAGAGGTATCTACAATCACGTCAAAATTACGATGACCAAAAAATAAATCTTCATTTCTTCTTCCCTTTAATCTGCTTCTTTCCTAGTGCTTCTCACCTCAGCCACTCAGTTGCTTAAACAAAACTCTAGGACTGTCTTTGATTACAAGACTTCCACCTTCTACGTCTATGCACCAGCTCGTGCCCGACTTCCAAAACACAACCTGTCTCCTGCTTGAAATACCTAGTTGCTTCCCGCCACTGGGAGAAAATTATCCAAACTTGCTGAGGCTCTGTATGATCTACCTTCACCCGCAGCCCTTCTCATCCTCACTTCCGATCTGTCCATGGCCCTGAGCAGCACTTTCTGAGGAATCCCTAGAAGTAAGGACATCATCTGGGAAGGCCACTTCCTTGTCACTCAGGTCTCAGAGCCACTGAGAGGTCTTCTCCAACCACATGAGCCAAAGTCATCTCTATTAGATCACCCTGCTCTGCTTCGTATCGGTCATCATGATTCTTTATTGGTTTGTTGTGTGTTTCCCCCACTAGAATGTATTGATTCTTCTAATCCTTCTTTTGCAGAGGGGGAAATTGAGTCAGAATGGTGAGTCACTTGCCCAAGGTCACAAAGCTAGTCCAGACTTGAGATTTGGATGTAGATCTAGCCCAGCGGTTCTCAGCTGGTGGGATTTTGCCCTCCGGGGACATTTGACAATGTCTGGAGACATTTGGGGCTGTAACAACTAGAGGATGCTAAAGGCATTCTAGTGGGTAGAGCCCAGGATGCGTTAACATCCTACAACACACAGAACGGTCTCAGCCCCGAGCGTCACTAGTGTCGAGGTTGAGGGCATAGTTCACAACTTAGCCTGAACGTGGGCAAATTGGTCTGAGGGTCACCTGTGGGTTTACAAAAGCTGACCGGGTTATCTCATTTAGCTTTTCAGTTGACCTTCAGAGGATGTGGGCTCCAAGGTTAACAACTCACCCTTTCTCACACAGGGCAGACCCAGGTCTCTCCCCAAACCTCAGGCCAGCAGTCATTCTAATAGTGTTGCATTTTGTACCTCCCAGCAGTTTTCAAACAAATTCCATGCAGGGGTCCAGGGGTCCCCATCTTGCCTCGTCTACCTAAGGGGAGGGGCCTAAGGCTGGTGAGAGGCTGCCCCAGCCAGATGGCTCACCCAAGCAGTTTCACTCACTCCTTCCCATAATCCTGCAGTGGCAGATATGACTATGTCCATTTCACAGATGAGGAAACTAAGGGCGGGGTGGGAGGTGAGTCAGATGTTGAATTTGGATGTTTTTGCTCCAGAGGCCAGAGTTCTTTCCTCTACCTCAGGCAGTTTTGGAACTTCTCCTCCCATTTGTGAATTTCTGACGCCAACAAGATATTCTCAGATTTTTTTTTACAAGTCAGCATCTTAGAAGAGAGGTTGGCATCTAGAACCCTTTCTCTACATCCCTGGCGAATGCCATTCTGTCACTGCTCTGTCTTGCTACCAAATGCAAACGCTTTGGCCTCAGCACACAGGGCACCACTTTGGGGTGTGACTGCTGGCAGCCTACCTCTCTGGAAGCTTCTTCCTCTTCTAATCTACTTCAGAGATTTGGGTGTGTGATCTTGTATTCAAACTATTTAAATGTTAGCATCTGGCAGGGCCCCTGTTTTGTCTAGATTTGCTTTAACTTTCCCGGAAATTAACTCATCATTCACTTCGAGGAAAGCAAAATCACCTTTTATTTTTTCTGAAGAATTTTTAAGTTGTACAAACAGAACACAAACATATTTTCTCAATTAAGACACAAACCATCTGGGCAAACTTGAAATCTCCCCGGCCCAGCCCTCTTCTGCCCAATTCCATCGCCTCCTCATGGTGACTGGAGTAGCCCTTTGGGTACAGACACTCCTGGTCCGATTTCCATGTGTAGACTCACATCCTAGTTTATCCGTTGTTCTGCCATTTGCTTTTTTTAATCCAGCAGTATGCCTTGGAGACCTTTCTACATCAGTGTATCCACTTCAGAACAGAATTCTGCATCATACTTTAACCCTCTCGCTGTGATTTCCAATGTTTTTCCTTTTTAGAGACAAAGCTACACTAAACATCTTTGTTAACATCTCGGTGCAACCGTGTAGACCCTAAGGCAGCTGCCTACGGTAGATCGACTTGCTTAAAGGATGCTGAGCATTTAACATTTTCATGCAAATGGCTAAACTGTCTTTTAGAAAACCCATTCCACTCCCAACATTGAGCTGTGAACCCATATGAGCCCCTGATCCACACACCCTGGTCAAGCCTTGGCTTCCCCAGGCAAAATTTCCCCATGCCGTAGGCAGGATGGGAGCTCCCTGTTCCGCAGGTCATTTGCCAGTTACCAATGAGGTGAGATTGTACATGTTTTCAAGTGTATTCTGGCCATCCCCAGTCCCTCTTCAGTCAAACAGCCTTTAAAAATCCTCTCCCCATTAAAAAAAATCTGGTTGTTTTTATTTAATTATTTGTGGAAGGGTTTACTTTTAAACATAATCCTTTGTCCCTTAAATTTCTTTCAAGTGCTTCCTCCAGAGATACTGCCTCTGCTGTTTTTAACTTTGCCGATGACACTTTGTTACACAGACCTTTGCTCAGTGGATAACTTGGCCTTGGCCCCCTGCCAAGGTGTTAGCAGGTGTGTATGTGAGGGGTGGGCCACCTTCACCTGCTCTTTCTGGGGCAAGGGGCAGATCAAGCATTTAGACAGCTCATGTTTTTTTAGTTTCTGATAAGAAATGATGGGGAAAGTTCTTCCTTGCCTCCTTATTCAGCACTAACAAGGAGTTTTACTGGCAGTTGCATAATTTGAAATCTTTAATCCTCAAATCAAAATCAGGAGGGAGCTGGGGGATATGCCTCTGGGTGGGGGGGCAGGGTCCTGAGGATCCCTCCCCCACCCCAATGCATACTCTGGTTTCCTCCAAACTCAGTGCTCCTTTCTGAGCCCTCAGGACCTTGGCTACCTCTTCTCCCCCACCCCCGCCACCACCCCTCAACCCTGACATGTTTTATCAGACTCATTTTTTCAACCCCAAAGTCTTTACCTGAGGCCGTGGACGGAGGCCAGGCGACAGCTGCTGGTCAAACAGCTTCTGCAGAGACTCCAGGGAAGGGAAGATCCGGGTGATTTCCCTGGGGGCAGGGCGAAGGCCAAGGATTAGTAAGGTCCCAGTAAGGCTCCAGCTAGAGACGCAGCGTGGTCACGCCCACTCAGGCAAAGACAGGGGTTCTTCCCAGGAGGACAAGTCCAGGCAAAGATCCAGGGCGGCCAAAGCTGGCCCGTCACCTGCCCGACGCCCTGGCCTGCCTGTCCCCGACCCAGACCAAGCTGGAGCCGTGACGCGTAGACCTGATTTACTTCTGTTTAGCCACACTCAACTACGCAGCCTGCAGAAAATTTAAATCTAGAATCACAAAACTACTTTGAAATAATTTAGTAATCCACAGTTCCCAGCCTTAAGTGTTTATAAGAATCGTACCTACACCGAGTGTGAATAATACAAGTCTGGGCCCCGACTGGATCTGGTCTGGAATCTGCATTTTAAATTCGTGCCCCAGGGGCCTCCTGTGCTCACAGCCTGTGCTTTCTGGTTCCAACCCCCATCCTGGCAGCAGAGATGGACGCCCAGACAGATCTGTCCTTGCCTAATCCGCTGATAATTCCAATACCGGGGTTTTACCGATTTTTTATTCCTTCTCATCTTTTTCTATTTTCCAATGTTTTAGGAACGGCGGGCAATTTTGAGTTCTATTTTTCATTTATTATTTCATCAAAAACTGTTCATGTTTTGACACATATAACAGTCTTGGTGATTTCAAAATATTCTGTTGAGGAAATGGGCCCAAATCAATTGCTAGATAATTGGGTGAGTTTGAGATCTTGGCGATTATTAAGTGAAGGCTGCTCTGAACAGCTTTGTTCATAAAGCTCCTCTTTACTTATTCTCAATGTCAATTTTAGGCTAACCAGAGACTGTGGCTCTGGATCAACATCGCTAAGCCTCTGAGTGATGGTACCCATTACGGGGCCATGGGCACTGCTCCAGCCTGCTCCTCCTGGGAGCTGTCTGAATTCTTTCTACTCTTCTCTCTTTTAGTGGGCGTAACAGTGCATTTCAACAGTGCTGAATTGACTTACATATCTTTAATTTCTAAAGTCTTTAAGTATTTTTCGACCTGTTGTATTTCTCTTCCTATAAATTGTTCATGTCTTTGTTGGTTTTCTGCAGGGAATTTTGTTGGTATTTTTACACATGGGTATAAACTCTTTACTTACTGCTTTGTGTTTTATTTAATCCAGGTGTTGTAAGCCCCCCCTACCCCCATTCTGTTATTTTCATCCGCGGTGGGCTAGATTTCATTATAAAGTGCTTTATAGTTTTTTTATTGCTGTGTTTTTCATCTTTGCTTGGTAATTTTTTTGCTTATCTTAGTTCAAAAATTATCATCAGTATTTACTAGTGAGCAATTACTTGCTCCTCTTAAATTGGTTTCTCACTCTTTTAAAAGTTATGTTATATACAAGGATTCTTGGGGTTGTTGTTATATATTTTTAATTCCTTATCTCATCTGGAATTTTTTTTTTAATATTGTGGAAATAAGTTCATCTTTTTCCATATTGCTATTTAGTTTCACTGAACTGCACTTGCTGTGTTTTTCTCAGTTCTTTTGGGCTAGTTCATTGCACGAACCCATCCTAAATGTGATAGGATTTATTTCCAGAATCCATATCATTCATTCAATGAAAATTCTGGAGCATCCCACATGTACTAGGCAATGCCATGTTCCCAGACTGACAGTATCTCACTGTTGCAAGGACGGTGTTTTAGCCTACTGGCTTTGACTGGCCATCCTTGGGATTCCTTTGGGAGTCAAGGAGGGTGGGGGGATGTAACTGACTAGGGAGAGGGAGGTATGTGCTGGGCAGACAGGGTGCTTGCTTTCTATCCTGCCTCTGCCAGAGCTGCTCTGTTCACTGTGCACATAGTGGTATTCTGTTTCCACTGTCATTTCATCAAAGAATTCCAGCCCCCAAAACCAAAAACAATTCTAAAACACTAATTCAGTACAAGCTTTAACATCAAATAGGTCCCCTTCATTGTTCTCCTTTTTCAAAATGTTACCCGAAAAACACAAGTACACATACACAAACTGAATCTTTAGAGTTTTCTAAGAATAATGCCGTTACCCTCTGTAGTTCAAACCTTTGTAAAATTTTGAGTAACCTGGTTCCCAAATGTGTCTGGAGGTGCTGGTTAGGGTCACAGTGACTGATGATGCATAGGGACTTGAGCTGGAAGACTTAAGAACGGTCCTTATAATACAGATCTGCCTGGGGAAGTTACCATCAGCAGGGGCCCTGGGAAGCTTGTCTCCGTGTCAGGTCACCAGCTCGAGGAGAGACAGGGAGTAGAGACAGAGAAGGCTGCAGTCCTCAGGCAGGTCAAGGAGCCTTCCCAGAAGGAGAGCTGCCTCCCACCTTGGCCTCAGAGAGAGGGTTAATCTCCCCAGCTTCCCCACACACTTTCTGGCTAGCACATCCAATCTGGAGATCCCAGCCCAGACCTCCAGACTCAGAAGGAACATTCTGATGTTCTGTTGTTTTCTTAATTTTTGCTTCTCTGATTCTTTGCTTCTTTTTCTCTTTTTGCTTTAGCGAAAATTTCTCACACAGTATTAAATAATCAGGTGATAGTGAGCATCTCTTTTTCATTTGTTAAAAGATTTAATGGAATGATTTCAATGTTTCCCTGTCAAGGATAATTGGTTTTACTTTGACACATACTGCATTATTAAGGAGGTAGAATAATTTTTAAAAATTAGAAATGGCTTTTAAATTTTATCAGGTCTGTTAAGACATCTATGCAAATGATTGCTTCATCTCTTAGTCTACTGCTCAATTATAGTGTTTTCTTTATGTTCATTCACCTTCGGGGTAATTTCTTAGACAAAAAACTACATTTTTCATATCACTAAATTATATTTGCTAGAATAATACTGAAATATTATACATTCATATTAATAAATGAAGCTGGATATAGTTTATTTCAGGCTATTATCTTGATCGGGGTTTTGGATTTAAGTCTTACTTTTCTTGAATATTGAAGATTTTTGTCATTCAAGAATAATTGATAAATTATAGTTATCATTCCTTGAAAGTTCAAAGGAGGGCATGCATGGTAATTTTCACATTTCATATTTCATATAAAATATTTGTTTCAATTAATTATAATTTGAAAATTTGCAGCCATGTAATGTACACTGTCTTCTTTATTTATTTGCGAATCTTTAGTGCAGATTATTAAATCTCCTACATTTCTGATTTTGAAAATGTTCTTAATTGACTTTTCTTCTAATTTATTTCTGTTTTTAACTATCTTCCCCCTGCTCTTCTCCTTTGCAGCCATTGTTATTGCTCAGTCTCTTAACAGAGGTTCCTTAAAGGAAATGCTGTTTTGTTCACTGCTGCATCTCCAGCCCGTGGAACAGTGCCTGGCTTGCAGCTGGCACACATTCAATCTTCATTCATGAATACTGAACAGACAAATGTTTCCAGTACTTTGCCTGACCCAGGAAATATCAAGGCAATCAGGATATAACCCATGATGCCTTCAGGAGACTGAGAAACTGGCATAAATTTGTATGCTTGACTCCTTATTCCACCCACCACCCTTTTCATAACAGAACTTTTAAAGCTATGGCTTTTCCTCCAAATAGTGCTTTGGCTGCATCACTTAGAGCTCTGATACACAGTGGTTTGATTACTCCTAGTTCCCAAACCTATCCCACATAGGCTAATATTGCATCAGTTCCTTCCTTAGTTCAGCTATGATTTAGGAGAGATGGTCTAAACATGTCTAGATGGTTGAGTGGCTGTGGCTAGTTTTATTATTTATTTCTACTTTCATCATATTGTGCTATGGGGGTACAGAACAAACACTTTTGCTTTGGGTGTACTCACATCCAACTGCTTGGTTAGCTGCTAGGGTCTTATTTTTAGGACCACCAGCCCTCTAAAACTTCTGGGGGAAAAAAACTCTTGTAAACTTTTTGAAGTAAAGAAATGTGATGAGTACATTTTCACAAATTTTTAAAACCTGCAAGACTCCCTAGTCCCTCGAATGACATCTAGATTGGGTTACTTCCAGGTCAGTAGTCTTCTCCTTGGAGATACTGCTTGGGAATTTTCATATCATCAAGGAGAATGAATAATATCAATATTGTAATTTTTAAAAGGAATGGTGCTGTTCCTAATTATTTGCTTCCTGAATTTATCTTCCCTTGCAGTTTAGAAGATTATAAGGAGGGGTGTAGAAGCTCCTATCTGGTTGTTCTGTCATTGGATCTTTAAGAGGTTTCTCAATACCTGGATTTAGCTCCTTCATAAGCTGGAAACATTTTTCTTCTTTTACACATTTAGTCATTAATTATCCACCATTTTTCCACTGCTTCTTGGACAGCCCATGCTACCAGGTATAAGTTGAATCTCTATGCCCTTTTCAAAGACTATCACTTTTTAAATCACACATTCTTTGCATATGCTCATTTAGTCCTCCCGTGTCTTCTGTATGTATGTATTTCTCTGACACTCTGCTCTGTTTCGTGATTTGATTTTCAAATTTGATTTGGAAACTATGGACTTATAGCCTCCAAGGAAGCAGTTATAATGGTGAAGTATTTTTGTTTTGGTTGGTTTGCTTCTTTATTAAAATCCGTGCCCTGTCCTCACTTAATAGATAAAATGCCCTCTCTCACACTCGACATTTTATTCTAAAATTCTACTTGCAATTCTTCTCATTGCTCCATTTCAGGGGTTATCAGATTGGAGACTTTATTCTTTATTCTCTTTCCCTGGAAAAGTTACCGTCTGGTTCTAGGTAATCTAATTTAGGATTCTACATCTTCCTTAAGCCTTTGTGCTGCTGAAGCTCTTTCTTTCAGATGCAGGTACTGACACTTAGATGACATTTTTGCAGAGGAGTACAATCTTGCACTGTTTCTCACTCCTCAGGTCTGAGTCAACAAACCTGGCCTCCTTTGGCACCATCCTCAGCCCCTGATCCAGCTCTTCCTCCTCCACCACCCCTTGAAATGTTTAGCCTCCATCCCCTCCATCTGCACTACCCCCTGCAGTGACCTTACCCTACTTGTCTCCCAGTGTCAAGTGCCAGCTGCATGCAGATGACTCCCAGATGTGTACCCCCAGCCCAAAGGTCTCCTGGGCTCTAACCTCTAGCACTAACTCCTTGGTTGGTAGCTCAGCTCACAGGATGCTTAATAAGGCCTCAAGTCAATGGTAGTTCAGAGAAACTACCCCCCCATTCCCCCCTCTCCTCCTTGACTGTCCCCAACTAAGTTATTGGCATCACCCGCACTCAGTGGCTCGCACCAAAAACCTAGTCACCCTCTGCCAGCTCTACCATCCACACACACCCCGGTCACACCAGCCTTCAGCACCCACATGCTCCCAAGCCTTGGGTCATTTAACTAATATCTATCAGCTGTTACTGGGTGCAGGGGCCGTCTAAACACAGGACTCAGCAGGATGCAAAACAGACACAAATCCCTGCCTCCTCTCACTTCCCTTCTCATGGGCCACCATCACGGTACACACAGCAGCTCCGGAGTGTCTCCTGCTTTGGGTCTGCCTCCACAGCCCTAACTCACATTATGGCACAGTCCCGACACTCTCCCCAGGGCCTGGAAGGCCTCACGTGATGTGGCTCCTGCTAGCATTGCCAGATAAAACACAGGGCACCCAGTTAAATTTGAATTTCAGACAAACAATGGATCATCTACTAGGGTAAGTATATCCCAATATTGTGGTATATACTTATACTGAAAAAAACATTTACGGTTCATTTGAAGTTCAGACTTAAAGGAGCATCCTGTGTTATTTGCTAAATATGGCCACTCGACACCTGACTCTTCCCAACTTCCGTTCCTGACACTATCCTTCACTCTTTATGCTCCAGCCACTTTCCTTCTGTTCCTTGAGGCTGACCTCATTCCTGCCTCAGGACACTTGTACCTGACATCCCTTTGCCAGGCAACTGGATGGCTAGCTCCTTCTTGTCACTGAGGTCCCAGCTCTGTCACCACCTCAGAGAGGCATCCTTGACCCCAAAGGACAGTAGCACCCTCCACCCAGTGTCTCTCCATCACATTTTTCTATTGTATTTTGTCATGATATTGATTAAAATTATCTTGTTTATTTACAGACCTAATTGACTGCTCTATTTCTCACTAGGATGTCAGCTCCAACAAGGTCTGAAAGAGCAGAGACCTTGTGTGTTGTGTTCATTGCTGCATCCCAGCACCCAGAACAGAGCCCAGGGGAGACTCTTCATCCATATTTGTTAAGTGAGTGAATGAATGAATGAATGCATTGAAGAGCTGTTCCAAGCAAAGCAGTTGAAAACTACAAGTGCATAGTTAGTTTCATTAAACGCTATCTGCAGGGTTGCAGGGGGACAGGAAACATAATTTTGTTACTAAGATTTTCTAAGAGTCCATCCCTGAGCTAACCAAGTCTCCAAACCTGACTATCACTTTGCCTACGAAGCGAAGACAAACAAGCGTGTGGGGAGTTTACACCATCATAGTGTCTCTACTTCTAACTGGAAGTTAACTGTTCAGTAAATAAAGGTGTGGGAAACTAGCCATGTTGAGGAAGCTGCTGTCACCATAAGAATGAGGTTACCTAGATCCCAGGAAAGTCCAGGAAGCAATGCTGTGTTGGGGAAATGTGCTGAGTGACTGGGTGACGCTTGTGGAGACACTTAAAGGTATATTTTCTCCTGGTCAAGGAAGCAGCAAAGAGGAGAGTCTTCACTGGAGCAGAAATAAAAGCTTGTTACCAGTCATCATGAAATTCTGTTTCTTAGAGAGAGTGCGTGTGTGTGTTCCCTAGTGGTAAATGATTTGTAACAACAGTGTCACATGGAAAAATCTCTCTCCCTGGGAGTCTATAAAAGTGATGGCTCTGGGTACAATTAGCTGAAATTACATTAGTTGAAAGCCAACTCACTGAAATTAAGCCTGACCGGCCAATGTGATGAGCACTCAATCTGTCAAAGAAATTATTTGTTAAATTTACCAAATGTATAGATTGTGCTTTTAAGAGCCTTTAAAAGGAAAGTTCAATATGACTACTGATGGTGAAAGATTCTTTTTTGCATATTAACTAAGCTAAGATAGATACAGCACCAGAGAAGCTGACAAAAAGAATTTAGACACTGCTGTATATGTAATAAAACACACAACAGTATAGGCTGATAAAGCCTCACCCACATGAAATGCTCTTTTCCCAGCCAAAATGTTGACCTTTCATTTGCAATGGGATTGTTTTGGATCCTTGGATTTCTTTCAGATGTTTTGAATGTTATTTTCTATTTTTTCAAGCCTTTAAAATACTCTTTTGCCAATTCTTTAGACAGCTATCAGCCTTAATTTTGCCCTTATAACACTTAAAGTGTAATTAGACTTGAAATTAATTTTAATGGTTATGAAATTAAAACCCATAATCAAAAACTCTAAAAGATATTAGAATTTTTACCAATTGGTAAAAATGAATTTGATATCAGAAAATTACAGTTTTAGTGAATTGCCTCACTTCAAAAAACTACCATCACTGGCGATCTTGGGCCATCAACACCCACACAGATAATAAGCTGATTTTAATTTATTTCCTCTCGGTGCCCTTAGGGGCTTGTTGAATGTGCTGACTGCTGCACAGAGGATGAATAGTAGCAAAATCCTTAAACATTAGACCCTGAGCTGGTGTGAAAGGGCTGCAGTGCATTCTGCCTACCCTTTCCCGTAGCAACTGGCCTCAAATTAACTTTAGTTTAAAAGAAAAAACCAAAAAAACACAACCACCAAGTTCAAACACCAAGAAAACAAAACCTCAGACAACCACAACGATTTCTAAACCCCATCAACTGCCCAATTATTCTGAGTTGAGCAGAGGTATGTAGACAGCCAGGCGGAGTGCAGGGTCACCCTAACGAGCTCTTTCTCTGGCCCAGCCCGCCCCACCTCCCGCCCCCACGGGCAGCCATTACCCATAGAGTTCCTTGCAGAGGAGCGCAGTCAGTTTCTTCAAATGAGGGAGACTGCAGGAGCCCGACTTCACAAAATCAGAGTCCAGGGTGAGCTGGGTGCTTAAATAATCTTGAATGGCTTTCAGATGCTCTTCTGGAAGCCTGGGGAGGGGAGGAATAGAAATAACAACATGCTTACTTTGTCCTTTAGCCATAGATACCAACAGTCACAAGAAGAAAAAGTCTACGTCCTCACTGATACACTGTCCTGCAGGAGAATGTTCGCACACTTGTATGGTTCCCTGGGTCTTACTGAAGGGATGGAGACCAGATGGGACAAGGGAAAGGGCCCAGTGAGAGAGGCTGCCTCTTAACCCACCCACAGCGGCTTTTCCCCAAGCTGGTGCATGGAAGGAAGTGATAGTGGCTGGAGAGGAGAAATGTTTATCCTTTGAAAAGGCGATAAATAGCTTTGAAAATGTACACAGGACTTCTTTTCCCACTTCATCTGTTCCTAAAGGCAGGAACTGAGGGCTGAGGGATGCTCTAGTCCAGAGCTGAAGCAGATGGCTTCAGCTCACAGGCCAACTCCAAGTTCACAGCTAAAGGCCACCTGGAGCTCTGTGTCAAGGAGGTTCTGAGTCATCCGAGGCTCCAAGGGGAGGTCTCTGCCATGAGCGATGGGGCTAGGGATAGGGCAGTGGCAGCCTAGGTGCCCGCCCTTCACGCCCCCATCCCTCCTCCAGGTCTGGTCCAACCCCTTTCAATTTACGGATGAAGCGCACGACCCGAGGCAGGATCTGCCCTTGCACATGACAGCTCAGCAGAGACAGCCCTGGGGCCGCCACCTAGGTCCGATCATACCTCTTCATTCTATCTCCCACCACCGTTTCTCTCGACAACTTTTGAGTTTTTGTTCTTATGATGATGAAAATTATAATCACAGCAAGTATTTCCTGAGTGCAACACACAAGTCACTCTGCTCAGCACTTTCTGTTCATTCTCTCCTTTAATCCGCACATCAGCGTTATGAGGCAGAGAGTACTGGCATTCCTATGTTACAAATAAGGACACGGAGGCTCGAGGACGCTGATTTACTTGTCTGAAAAAATTAATTAATACAAGCCTTAAATATCGTTGTGCCAGCCTTGACATACAATCAAGTTGAAACTACAGATCACGAGGGTCTGCAGGATCCTCGAATAATGAAGGACTTGCTCTTAAGACTGGAAGGAGGTGGATTCGCTATTTTGATGTATTTAGATTGTGAAGTCAGCAGCTATGCACATACCAGTTGTCACAATATTTAACTTTAATCTATACTTATTCTGAGCCTTGACATCATAAAAATCCAGTTTCTGCCTCAGTCTGTTTTACTAAAAAGGACAAAAAAGAAATCTCTTTTGTAGCATTGAAGTATGTTTACTTACTGTCTGTTTTTGTTTGGGGGGAGGTAATTAGGTTTATTTATTTGTTTATTTTAATGGAGGTACTGGGGATGGAACCCAGGGCCTGTGCGTGCTAAGCATGTGCTCTACCGCTGAGCTATCCCGTCCCCACTCTGAGGTATTTTAACCATTCTAATGTCTATTGATTTGTAACTTTGAGAGCCAGAGTGCTTGCTTTAGGAAGCTGTATTTGTTAGAATGTTTCTTGCAGACATGTTCATGTTGTCATAAAGATGTGAACTCTGTTTATCAGAGAAGGCTGATTTTACTCAGCAGTCTCGTAGTAACTCTGACCTAACTGATCTCATTTACTTGCACAAAACACTGTGCAGGTTGTCTTACAGCTATTTTACAAGTGACATAGATTGACTTCCAAACACAAGGCAGCATCTCAGTTTTTCACGACCCAGAAGAGAAGGCAGGATGGGCACCGTGTCGCCAGGGTCCTCCCCACTGTACTCGCACTGACACACCCCCTGCTCCAAGCAGGAGTTTTCGGCCGAGTTCCACTGCTGTGTGTTAACACAGGAGCCAAACCGGAGAGGGCGCGCCTCCTGTGCTCCCCAGCCCTCAGCTGCCCCGCCCCTCCCCGGAGGCTGCGTGGAGGCCTGGCTGAACACCTCGTCCTGCCCCACGGCTGGGCCCTGAGAGCCTAGAGAACACCCGTCCCTGCAGAGGTGAAACGGACGAGGAGATGGAGCCAAAGGAACACATGGGAGAGTCGGCAGGGATGGGCAGTGGCGGTACCACCGGGCAGCCTTGTCTGCTTTCTCAAGGAGCACGCGGCATTTACTAGATGATAATGATGACGAGCTCGGAGAGAAACAGAATCTCAAGGAAATGAGGCAATGCAATGGGCTTGGCAAGGCCTATTTTAATAAACATTTGTTATTCAGACACGTTATCAGGATAATCATGATAACAGATCAGCTATTCAAAGCCCTGGATATTGAGCTACTGGATAAGTAGCACAAGGAATTTAGGGAGCTTGCAGAGAATATAACCTGGTGGGCCTGGAGAAGAATTAGAGGATGTGTCAAGGTGGAAATATAAAGACACCAGGTATCTTAGCAACCAGTGGCTTGTGTGTACCTTCAGGCATTTCCTCTGTCCTTTGCCAAATCAGATGGTAGGTGAGCAGCCCTGGCTGCCTCAAAATCATCTTTCAAGTTCATGTTACATCAGCCCTAACCTTAGGATGTCCTTCAGGGGTCCTTTTCTCACAAAGAAACAAAAAATGTTTCAAAATTATTAATGCATGGAAGTCACTGTGCACAAACTCATTCATTCAACACATACTTAGGGAGCGCCAACTCTGTGCTAAGCAGCGCTCTGGGCACCAGGGACACAGTTCCCCCGTGGACCCCACCTCCCTGTGGAAGCCACCCCCTGGCCTGTCTTGAAGTCAGGGCCTTTGATTTGCAAAATAACCAACACCCCTCCAAGGCCCTACCCCAACCTCCCATCATCCAGCCAGGGAAGTGCTGGGCCTGCTAAGGGAGGTGGAGAAGCTGTAGGACTCATCAATGTGGACCAACAGGAGCCGGCCCGGTACCACCTACAGGACCAGATCCTGAGAACCTTGGATCAGAGCGAGTGAAACAGAGTGTTGCAACGATTGCATCTCACAGCGTCCACCACAAAGAGGGGAGCGTCATGTTGTATAGACCCCCTAGTCCATACTACACAGGAAAGTATTGCTCTGACCCATTTCCTGGTGATGAGGAAGGTGGCCTCCTTTGAATGGGGCCAGACCAGAGAAGGACTGCATGGCAGGTCCAGCCTGCAGTGCAGGCAACCTCCTCCACTTGGACCACCATCTGACTCATGGGGGTAGAGGTATTCGTGATGGGAAAAGATGCCAGGTGAGTTCACAGCAAGCCCCAGTCAGGGTCACAGCACAGGCCCCCGAAGTCTGGAGTGGGGCCATGCCGTGTGCAGCAGAGAATAACAGAACCAGCTCCCGCCACGCCAAGGGGCCTGGTGGAGATGGAGCATCTGAGTGGGGCCAACGAGCGTCCACATACACAGAGCTGCCCTGTGGCCCGGCTGCCTCAGACCCACTGTCGGGAGGTCGGTGGGCTCCACAGCAAACCTGTCCTGGGGTGGAAGGGGGATCCAGGAGTCAGCACAGCGTGAGCTACCTGGGATCTGTGGCCTCCGAGACCAGCCTGCCTGGAGGGGACTCACCCGCTGGTGTCCATGGTCTGCAGTCGCTGAAGCAACGTCTCCGAGAGGCTCGGCCGGCTGACCTCATTGGCTCGAGGATTCTCGTTCAAAGGAGGGACCTCCTTAGTCTCACACGGCCCGGCAGTTAACGGGATGTTTCTGGGTGGCAGCTCAGGTGGAGACAGGACACTTTCTACCCAAGAGAAGAACAGGAATGCCATCTGGGCTGAGCGCATCCTCTCTCCCTCCCTTGGGACCACACACCTCCGGAGAGGGCTGTGTGCCTACACGCTGCGCCCTCCCAACACGTGGGGCCCAGGTCACTGCGCCCAGCTCCAGACCCATCTGTGCCTGCACTGTCCCTTCCTGTCCCCACTCCCTTGCCAGAGGACTCCGGGACTAGACAGGGAGCCTGCTGAGGGCAGGAACCTGGTCTTGGGGGTCTCTGGCCCAGGCCCTAGCCCAGATTTTGTCCCCGGAGGCGCTCTGAAGATGCCTGCTGGAGTCAGATGGCCGTGTTGGGCAGGGCTGCTGGCCTTGGACGAGTGGAGCCAGCAGTCCCAGCAGCTCAGCAGGACAGCCAGCTTGGGGCTGAGGTGGGGGCCCTCGGCCAGCAGAGGCTGGGTTCCCGTGACGGGAGGAGCCGGGCAGGGAGCAGGCAGGCCCGGCCACAGTGCTCCTCTCTCTCCCACCCTATCCCCTTTTCTCTGCACTTTCTCTCCAGCCTGTCTTTCCTTCTCTCTTCCCCTGGACCCTCAGAGACAATACGGGAAAGTGAGGGGCTCCCTCCACCCAGTGAACTGAAATATGAAACAAATGACTTGAACTTGACCTGGGAGATGGGACTCCCACCCATTCACCTTAGAAACTTCCACCCCACAGATGCCACAGGTGAGTGAGGGTCCTGAGCCCCTGAGCTCCACGACCTCTTGTCCAAGCGTCTTCCCACACAGAATGGCTGTCCCAGGGCCCTGGCCACAGAGCTGTCCTGGGACATTCTCTTTCTCCCTCTTCTTTTTTAAAAAATTGAAGTTGAGTTGATTTACAAGGACACATTTTCTTTAAAGGATGAGCCCTCCTCTTCCTCACCTGGCCTGGGGTTCTTTCAATGGTTCTGAGTCCATTTTGAGCCCCACGGGGACAGGCAGCACCTTGAGGAGACCTGAGCCAAATCAGTCACTGGGCTGGCCCAGGGGGGTGGGAGCAAACGTCACATTGCTTCAGTTCAAGCTGACAACTGGGCTTCGTCTGAGGGCGGGAGCGGTCACAAGACAGGGTTTCTCTTTCCAGCCCTCACAGAAAGGGTTGGGATCTTTTTCTAGGCACCCACTCCCAAGGGGCAGAAAAGCTGGCCTGGGGGCGAGAAGGAAGAGAGGACACTTCTGCAGGATGGCTTCTCAGGCCAGCTGGGGGACATGCGGGCACAGCACTGGTGAGTGACCCTGGACTCCGGGGACATGTCAGCTCTGGCTGTCTCACAGCTGAGGGCACCTCTTACTGGGCTGATGGATACGAGAAGGGACCCGGCCTCACCTGTGCAGAGCGGCACTCTGTCTGAAACACTGCCTGGCCCTCACCGCCTCCAAGAGCTGGTGAAGCCGCTCTTCAGAGTTTACCACCTGACAGGCAGCCGATGAGCTGAGAAATCACTCTGAGTGGGTCTCTGGGGAGGTGGGAGGAAGATGGGCAGGTGGCCCATGGAGGGGGTCAAAAGACACCCAGCACGTGATTGGCAGACGCCAGAGATGGGCCGGAGCCAGGCCAGGGGCGATCACGGCTCTGACCTAATCTGTCCTTTGGGGGACACCCTGGGGGACCATGCGTTTCCAGGCCCTGGGACTTCGGAGGAGCCCTGACTGGCTGAGAGGCTCAATTATGTGTCTCAGGGTTTTCTGCTAGGACACGAGCTCCTGAGGGGAAAAGGTGAGCTCCTGGGCCGCAGGCCTCTCACTCCGTCTGTCTGTCCCTCCACTGTGTACACAGCGGGCCTGCCTCTCACCTACCATCTAGGGGCCGCCCTTTTGTTCCTTTTATGATGACATCAAGAAGCACCTTTCTCATCCTTCTGGTTTAGTGCAAGGATCTCCTCCCTCATTCTCTTCACAGGAAAACTCAGCTAATCATTTTGACAATGATGGTAGCTTCACTTATCAGGTGCTTACTATGTACAGGGCTCTGGGTCTATACTGATTAACTCATTTCATGACACCTTGAGAGGTAGATATTATTTTTGGTGTCTCTTAAAGAGAGGTCTGTGGTTCAGAGAGGTTGAGTAATTCCCCTAAGGTCACACAGCTAAGAAGCTGGGGACCAGGAAGTTTGATCCAGTTCTGCCTGACCCCACAGTCTGTGGGGTTCCTAATTTGTCTTTAACCACCAGGTCAGTGTCTGATAACTGGACTCAGCTGATCTACAAGCACCTGAAGTGAGAGGAACACCCCAGAACTTCACCTTGGTACTTAGATGGCAGGGTCCTGAAGGCACTGCCAGCCTCTTGCCTTCCCTTCCATCCTTTCCTACCTGTCTCCTCCTCTGGCTCGTCACCTGCGTCCTCCTCCTCCAGCGGCACTGGATACTGCAGATGGGTCACCAGACCCATGTTTTCCTTCTTGTAAAACTCGATGAGCTGGTCCAGCTTGGTGAAGAACCTCACAGGGACACCTTCGGATGCCTGAGGACAAACCCCAAACAGAAGCACATCTCAATGGGCTGGAACCTCACCCAACCACAAAAGGCCACCTGCGGCAGAGACGAATGAGGCTGAGGGAGTGACCACGATCCAGAAAAAGCCCTGGGCTCCTACGCAGGGTCTGCCAGCCACTCCCACACCCTCCCATCCTGTAACCGGCAGCCTCTAAGAGACAGTCTGCAAAAGGCACAGTTTTAAAGACTTTTTTCTTTCAGTTTTTTTTAAACTTTTATTTTTAAAAGCATTATCTTATACAAGTAGTGCATTTTCATTATGGAAAAAAATTTTAAATATAGAATTAAAAAAAAGAAATCACCTGTAGTTTTATAATCTACAGAGACCGATTTTCAATAGTTTAGAATGTTTTTCTAGACTTCTTATGTGTATGTTTGGTAGGGGGAGTTATCCTCTCCCTTCCCAAAATCATTTACTTTTAAATATAGGAAAAATCTATTCTACCAGTTGTTTTGCTTTTATATTTTTCACTTGATGTAAAATTCTTTTTTATGAAAACTCAGAAAATGGTCAAGGCAGCACAAAAACCTTTCCTGATTTGTATCTCTGCAGCTGATGACAGGGGAGTGGAAGGGTCATTCCACTGGGCTGTTCAAATGCCCTGGGGCCAGGTCTCCGTCCTCTGCCCTGGGGCTCCAACAGGAAACTCAAGGTAATCCCACGCAGGCAGCCCCGCCCCCAGGTCCTGCCCCTGCTGTGGCCCCACCCACACCAAGGCACCGCCCTGTTGTTCCCTCTGCGGGGGTGGGGGTGGAGGTGGAGGTGGAGGTGGTATCATGTAGCAGGGCAGGACAGGAGAACTGCAAGCAGGAGACTTATGTTCTCATCAGGGCTGCAAGCTCCAACTCCTAACCCAACATGTTGCAACATCTGTCCATCCTCCGCGTCCAGTCCTCTGGCCCACCTCTACTCCATGTTCCCTGTCTCAAGGAAGGGCTCCACTGTCTCCCCGCTGGCCCATCTAGGAACCCAGAAGCATCTGAGACTTCTCCCTCCACCTGGTACAGAGGGCAAAGGTGGACAACGCGGGGCAGGGTGTTCCTGATCCAGCCAAGAAGATGCTGAGTGAGGCTGTAGCCCTGGATAGAGGAGAACCATGCAGCCGGGCTCCAAGGAAGACCAGTGAGTGGCAGGGGGGCAGGTGGACAGGAGTAAGTTGTCAGGCTGCTGGAGGGTACAGGGACGAGCACCGAAGAGGTGTAACCACCTCTGGCTAGGGCTTCCCAGGCCTTGAAGAAGCACAGAACCCCTGGTCCTATCACTAAGTACCTGTGATTCACCCCATCATCATAATAGCCATCATGTCAATGGATAGTCATGTATTTAAAATTGAGTTGAAAAGGGGCTATTTTTGGAGTTGGAGGTGAAGGATCCAACTGCTCCCTGGGGGGCTGTCAGCTGCCTTCTCAGCTGAGGGAATGGGACCCTGAGAGTCCCACATGGGGAAAGAGAGTAAGGAAATAGGGGGAGATTGGAAAGCCCACCCAGGTTGGTGGGGCCTGGGCTGGGCGGGGCTGGACCGTCTTGACTCGCCCACCTTCAAGTCAGGTTTCTATTGCTCGAGCGTGCTTGGCACTGATGCGGGAGGTCATCAGGGCCACATGTGAGCAGGACTGGGAGGGCAGACAAGGCAGGATGACCCAGACCGGGACAGATTCAGACATCTGGGAATGGACCGGGACTCAGCCTTGTCCCTGAGTGGGGCTCCCGGTGGTAACCCCAAGTCGTGGTGAGGACATGGTTGCCTTCAGCGAGACTCACCTCTGCCACTCACCTTCACTCAGCTCCACACTTGTCTCTCTGCCTCCCCTTGTCTCTGTCTCTCTGCCTCTCTCTCCACATGTATTTGTGTGTATACACTGCACACGTGCATACCTTTGTACATAAGGGCATGTGTGTGTGTGTTCGATGGTGTGGTTGAAGCTGTTTAGTAAATTGGTAGACAGTTTAACAAAAGGGTTTTCTGATCCTTTTCAATAAATCCCCTTGCTTTCACAAAGCCCCACATTAAGCAATCTCTTTCAAGCATTACTGAACCCAAGATATCTGAGTAGCGGCAGCCAGGCCTTCGAAAAAGTAACTTAAATAGGTTCAAAACCCAAAGTGAGCAGAATAACAAAATAATTTGACATGACACAGGGTCGATGAGCTCGATTAAAGCAGTCATGACAAGCGTCATCCTGTCAGAGCACCCACAGCTAATGGATGACAAGCCATTAGGAGCATGGGAAAAGGATGTGAAGCTATCAAAGGAAATCAAAGGGAAACGACTCATGAGAGTCTGGAAAAGGGCTCTCAGCTGGAGGACGTCTGGGGAACGTATGTCTGAGGGAGCACGTGCGCTCAGGGGATTCAGGTGCACGGCTGCTGAGACGTTTTATGTACCACTAAAAGCTAAAGCATAAACCCCAACACACCATCAACTGGTGGGTACGTTCAATTTAAGAGATGTTAATATGAAAAAAATAAGCACCTTAGAATGGATGGAATACATTGGGTACTAAGTGTGCAGAGGAACAGAACACCCTAAAATTAATCTAATCCCAATGGATCCCGTGAAGGGGGAGGTGGACGGGAGGTGGGTGGGAGGACCTGGAGCAGTGCCAGGTCTGAGCGATGTTGGCATGTCAGACTGCTTGTGCTTGGACTGGTCACAGAGGCCAGGGAGCCAGGGCCTGGTGAACCACGGCTGCTGGCCGCCCTGGTGGCCCAGGTTCCCAGGAGGGTAGAGAATGAGGGTTGAATCCAAACCTCCAGGACCACAGAGCAAACCAACGAGTGGCCACTCAATGGCACTGATGGTGGAGGAACGCCTTCCTGCACACGCCACAGCTCCTGAGACGGGAGCAGCCGGCAAGCGGGGGCAGGTCTGCACATGTGTCTCAGCGGACAGACACACAGACACACGCACACAGAGAAAATGATGAAGGCAAGGAGCCAACTTGGCTACAGTTAGCGGCTCCTTGGGGGAACTGTTTCCAGGAGGACATCCTCAGAAGTTCTGGCTGTCGGTGCTAAGATTGGAAGAGGTCCACAGACACTCCTTTGAGAACTTATGCTTAAAGCACGTTCTAGAACAGGGGCAGGAAGAAGAAAAGGTGAAAGTGCCCAGAGCTGCAGAAGCTCCCAAGCTGGCCCAGACTCAGACTCACGGCAGGCGAGGAGTGCAGTCCGGACAGGTGGGGTGGAGGCTCAGGGTGCCCGGGAAGGAGCGGCCCAGCCACTGCCTTCTCACTCCTGAGCTGAGCCCAGAAAGGCCCTCTGTTGATGGACGGCCAAGAGTGCAGCACCACGTGGCCAACGAGGGGGTGGGTCCGTGTGAAGGGTGGCCATACCTGGGTGTGACCTGACAAACCCACCAAGTCAAAGAGTGGAGGCAGGGCTTTCAAGTGGACAGTGCCTTGACCATGGGCCAGCAGGGGCAGCGGAGTCCCGTGGGGATGGGCATCCGGTCGAGTCCATATCTGCTGCCCTTGTACCCCACAGTCAGGGGCCAGGTCTTAATGTCACATCCCCAGATGGTGCTGCAGGGTCTGGCCGTTGGGATGCTGGGATAGACTTGCAGCACTGGGGTCGGGATGACAGTCATGCGTTTGGAGTCTGGAGAGAGATGTCAGAGAGGATCCTATGTGGACCTGGGACAGGGGTGCAGAGAAATGGTGGGGGGAGGGTAGGTAGCAGGGGGAGTGTCCCCCACCTGACCCTCCAGAGGTAGTGCCTTTTCAGCAATTTAAAATGTAAAATGTCTGACTAGAAGGTTATCATGTGTATCAAGTCCAGGCCAATGGCAGATGCCATGATAAACTGGGGATTTGGGGAGAAATCAGTGGACGGGGTGTAGGGATACCAATGAAAGGGGATTCAGCATTCCACGGCCAGCAACGTGGGGGAGCAGGTTCCACCCTGGACTGACCACCGGGGAAGGGCAGATGTGGGACTCAGAGAGGGCTGAGCTGAGAGGGGAGGGCTGTAGCCTTCAGCGGAGCCAACCCCCAGGCCCCACAGGGAGGGAACTGGGGCTGGAAGTGCCTCCCATCCTCCAAACCAGGGATTCGGTGGATCTGGGCCAGAACAGAAGGCACACAGCACAGCAGCAAGCCCGCGGGGACAAGACGCCCAGGGAAGCAGTAGGAAGGCGAGATCCGCATGTCCTGCAGGCTAGGGCGGTCCTCACACCAGGTTGGGGACCGCCATGCTTCTGGGGAAGGGGACTGCCCTGCATCCTTAACGGCTGCCAGACTTCGTTCCTCATTCCGCAGCCACTGCCTTCCTGAAGACATCTATCAAGTCATTTTGAAACAGAGAAGGAAACCCCGAAACCCCGCGTTAGCTGCGCCTTGCAGACGCTGCCCAAGGTAGTGCCCAGGGGGCAGAGATTGGACTTCTGCACTGTGGCCACTCTCTCACCACAGGAAACCAATTCCTTCTCCCTTTAGCAGATACCTAGAGCACGTAGCAGACAGCTTGATGTGAAGAAGCAAGAGCGGCCTTTCCTGAGTCAAGTTGGCTGTTAATTCGCCAAACCTGGGGCAAAGAGCAGACATCCCCCAGGGTTTGTGGGATCCACTGAATGGACATGAACGCATATTCCCCACCAAAAGTGATGCCGAAAAAATGGTGGTTAGTTCAGGTCATGAAACAAAATACCTGTCTCCTCTCCTGCCTCCTATTTCCAGGTCTCTGGAAATTCCCAGGTGATTTCCAGCAAGATCCTTTCAGGAAATCCCTGCAGACAAGCTCCTCACGAGGCTCAGTCTTGCCAGTCTCCCGCCCAAGCTTCCAAGTCCTTGAAGGAAAGGGACCCTGCTTGGCTCGCCTCACAGTCCCCTCAATCGCCCGCAGGGGTAATGACAGTCCCCAGACCTGTTTTGAGAGATGTGCATCTTGCATAACACATACCTTACAGTTGACAAGTTGTAGCAGGAAACACAGAGATGTGGGTGGCCGAGCTGGGCCTTGTAGGGAGA